AATCTAATACTATTGAGGGTTAATTGAGATCAGGGATCACATGCTTCTATGATAAGAATAGCTCCTATTGTGTGTTTTTCTCTAGATGTACTGAGCAATCCCTATGTGGGGTTGAAATAATTATCTGGGAAAGTTGATCCAAAGCCTCAGATTCACAGGGCACTGACAACAGAAAGGTGATTTAGGAATCTGAAGATCATTGTAAGAGGGATATTCTTATCATTGACCATAGCCTCTTGCCTGGTAGAGGAAGTGATCTGAAGACAGATGCAAGAAAAAATGGAGAATTAAGAGACTGGAGATTTATACTGAAAAGGTCTAGGAAGAAAGATAAAAGAAAGCTATAAAATGAAGGATGATATTTCTCCAAAATAACAATAACATAACAAAAGCAATAAATAGCAATTGTGTATTAAGCAATCATGTGACAGGCAGGGCTTGAAATGTTTTATTTTGCATATTATTGTCATGATGACCCTATCAGGTAGTTATTATTGTTAGATTTTTTTTTCTTTTCAAATAAGTACTGGAAGTTGAAATAACTTTTAAAGATTACAGAGCTGATAAATGGCAGAAAACACCTTTTTTTTTCCTGTTTTACTGTGAAGGACAAAGTCAAAGACAAGAGGATAATAGTTTATTTATTTTGGCACGGGGCTACCAGGGATTGAATTTAGGGACACTGACAACTGAGCCACATCTGCAGTCCTATTTTGTATTTTATTTAGAGACATCTACTTTAACTTTATCCCCATTCACTCCATACTCCTTTCCCTGAACTCTGCCTTCCAAGTCTTCGTTTATTTTCTCCCCACCCACTTCCCTCTTTTTTCTGTTAAATCCCATTCCTTTTAAAATAAACTATATCATGCCTTGCATGGTGGTGCATGCCTGTAATCCCAGAGGCTCCAGAGTCTGAGGCAAGAGTTCACAGCCAGCCTCAGCAAAAGTGAGGCGTTAAGTTACTTAATTTCCTTCTACTCTACTAGCATTCCTTTCACTCAGTTTTAAATTTATTATCATTGGTAATTTATAAGTAGCATAAAAGAAGAACTTACTATGGTATATTTATACATGCCCACAGCTAATTTTGTCAAATTCATTCTTCATTTACTCCCCTTTCATATCCCTCTTCCCCACTTCTTGATCTCTTCCTGCTCCTCTCATCTTCCCTATATCTGTATAATATCCAAGCTCTTTATTTTGCTCTATCAGAAGGTGGAAGCATATGAGAGAAAACATTCAATTGTTGATTTTCTTAATCTGGCTAATTTCACTCAGCATGATGCTCTCCAGTTTCATCCATTTAATGGAAAATGCCATCAATTAATTCTTCTTTATGGCTGATTAAAACTCCATTGTGTATATATGTTATATTTTCTTAACCTATTAATCTATTGAAAGGCATCTAGGCTGGTTCCATAGCTCAGCTCTTGTGAATTGTCCTGCTATAAACATTAATGTGGCTATATCATTATACTATGCTGGTTTTTGTTCTTTTCGATAAATAGTAAGGAGTGGGATAGGTGGGACATATGGTTTTTCCATTCCTAGATTTTTGTGTAATCTCCATATTGTTTTATCAGAGTCTTTGCACTAATCCTCAAATTATATTCTGGTGTCATCATCATTAGGACCGTTACAGATGATTCTGTAAAATGAAAATAGCAGGGATTTGATCTAAGTAGCATGAAGATGAATAATAATAAAACAACTTTTTATATCTATTTCCTCTACTGTCCTCCATCTTCTCAAAAGAAAAAGAATAATTATGGCATTGTCAATTGCTTTTGCACTACAACCTATGTTTTGTTTCTTAATCTTGGTACCAATGCATGCATCCCCTATACCTGGAACTTAACAGAATCTTAGGGTTGAGGTTGGAAAGCATAGATTCCCTTATCCTTCTCTTAGCTACAGGTTTACAAGTAGTATATATATATATATATATATATATATATATATATATATATATATATATATATTTAATAAATGGTAATGTATATAGTATTTACCATTTACCTTGTGCTTTTTGTTTTTATAAAAAAACAAGTACCTTGTTTTTTACTTATGTATATACAAACAAGGTCAAACGTTTTTAAAAACATTTTTATTAGTGATCCATAGTTACAGATAGTGGAGTGCATTTTGAAATACTTATACATGCATGTAATATAATATAATATAATATAATATAATATAATATAATATAATATAATAATTTATTACAATCCCCATTACTTAGCTGGTGTAGTGACACATGCCTGAAATTCAGTGGGGTTGGGGGCACTGAGGCAGGAGCATCACAAGTTCAAAGCCACCCTCAGCAATTTAGTGAGGCCCTGCCTCTAAATGAAAAATATAAAAAAGGACTGGGGATATAGCTCAATGGTTAAGTACCCCTGGGTTCAATCTCCATTGCTTCCACTTTCTCTTCCTTCCTTCCTCCTCCAACTTCCCTTCATCTACTGTCTTTCGTTGTACTTTACCTTTCTTTCTTTCCTTCCTTCCTTCCTCCCCCTCTCTCTTTATCTCTCTTTCTCTCTTTCTTTCTTTCTTTCCTTGCTTCCTTCCTCCCCCTCTCCCTTTCTCTCTCTCTTTCTTTCCTTCTTTCTTTCTTTTTCTTTCTTTCTTCCTTCCTTCTTTTCCTTCCTTCCTTCCTTCCTCCCCTCTCCCTTTCTCTCTCTCTTTATCTCTCTTTCTCTCTTTTTCTCTCTCTTTCTTTCTTTATTTCTCTCTTTCTCTCTCTTTCTTTCTCTCTTTCTCTCTTTCTTTCTCTCTCTTTCTTTATTTCTCTCTTTCTCTCTGTTTCTCTTTCTCTCTTTTCCTCTCTATTTCTTTCTTTCTCTCTTTCTCTCTCTCTCTTTCTCTCCTCTCTCTTTCTCTCTCTCTTTCTTTCCCTCCTTCCCTCCCTCCCTCTCTCTCTCTCTCTTTCTTTCTTTCTTTTGTTTGTACCTAATAGATGAATGTGCAATTCATTGTGATGTATTCATACATGCACATGGCACAATTTGGTCAGTTTCATTTCAGTTCATCTACTTTCCCATGCCTCTTTCCTCCCCTTCAAGTCCCTTCCTCAGCTCCACTGTTCTCCTTTAATTAATTCTAATTTTTCTCTAGCTTTACTGCATATGAGAGATAATATTCAAATTTTTGAGTTAGACTTTCATATCTTTCAACATGATGGTCTGTAGTTCCATTCATTTACCAGAAGATGGAACAATTCCATTTTTTATAACCGAGAAATCCTCCATTGTTTATATACACATTTTCAATATTCCTTCATCTGTTGATAAGTGCCTGGATTGGTTCCATAATGTGGCTGAATTATGCTGCTATAAACCTTGTATGCATGTATCGCTATAGTATGCTGATTTGAGTACTTTTTGATTAACAGCAAGGAGTGGGAAATCTGGATTATATGGTGGTTTCATTCTTAGTCTTTTGAGGAGTCTCCATATGCTTTCCAAGGTGATTGAACTAATTTCTAGTCCTACCAACAATGTATGAATGTACCTTTTCCCATACATCCTCACCAGCATTTATAATTATTTGTATTCTTTATGATTGCCATTCTTACTGGAGTGAGATAAAATCACAATGTCACTTAGATTAACATTTCCCTATTGCTAAGGATGTTCAATACTTTTCACATATCTGCTGGTCATTTTTTTTTATTTTTCCTTTTAAAAAATGTTTGTTTAATTCATTTGCCTTTTATTGATTGGGTTATTTGAGTTACATTTGTTTTATATGTATGTATTAAATTTTGTTGTTGAGTTCTTTATATATTCTGGATAATAATGCTCTATCTGAAGAGTAGCTGGCAAAGATTTTCTCTCATTCTGTGTGTTCTCTCTTTGTGCTCTTAATTGTTTTATTTGTTGTGCAGAAACTTTTTTAACTTGATGCCATCCCATCTATATATTTTTGGTTTTATTTCTTGAGCTTGTTAATGTCATGTGTTGATATTAATGTTGAGTATTGTTAATGCAGTTGGTGCCGGGAATAATGTGTTAGAATTTTGACTCTATGTTCTCTTGAAGCATTTTCACTGCTTCTGAAACCCTAGGGTTTTGATCCACTTTGTGTTAACTTTTGTGCAGGGTCAGAGATAGAGATAAAATTTCATTTTTTCTACATACAGATATCCAGTTTTTCCAGCGTCATTTGTTAAAAGACTATCTTTTCTCCAACATATATATTTGGTATGTTTGTTGGAAATTGAATCCAGGGCCGCCTAACCACTGAGCCACATCCTAGCCCTTTTTATATTTTATTTAGAGACAAGGTCTCACTAAGTTGCTTAGAGCCTCGATAAATTGCTGAAGCTGGCTTTGAACTCAGCCTCCCGAGCCAATGCAATTATTGGTGTGCACATTATGCCCAGCCTTGAAAAACTTTTCTTAGAAAGGCATTTTATATTGGGAATAATACACTGAGTATTATTTATGGAAAATAAAAACTAAGGCACTTTTTGTTATTATAGCTTCTAAGAAATGCATATCAGAGGAGGTTCAGTTAATGCTAATAATAATTCATTGATTACTTATGCCCTTTAAACTGGAAATACAGTGTTATAAACTGAATTAAATAGACCAAATTACAAAATCCCAACCTCCTGAAATACTGCCACTCTATATGATTAATCATCTACATATCACAAGGTCTTAGGTGTTGATATCTAGGATACCTTATTCTGGATTAGTTTTATTACAAAGGCTTGGGTATGTGACACCACTGGTTTACACTCAGCTTTGTTGTTATTTTTGTTATGAAATATATCAAAATTTCAGGGAAAGTGTCCATCAGGTCTTGTTGTAACACATCCTATAGTATACATTAATATAATGAGAGAAGTTTAGAAATATGTCTGAAATTCAAAGTTATAAAACCTTACGCTGTCTCCTTAGGGGGGAAAAACTAATATTGCTATGATTATGTTGTCCTCTAGTATTAAAATAACTGATGTTTACACTGAAGTTCTTTGCCTTTTTCAGATCAGTATTTTCATGACTCATTTGTCTAACTATGGGAATGACCGACTGGGATTATATACATTTGTTAATCTGGCCAACTTCATGCAGACCTGGACCAACCTGCGTCTTCAGACTCTGCCACCAGTGCAACTGGCTCATAAGTATTTTGAACTCTTTCCTGATCAGAAAGACCCTCTTTGGCAGGTAAAATTGGTTCAATTATTAGTACAACTAATGAATCCCACAATCATATTGTATACCTCTATGAGATATTCCAAATCTGAAAGAGTGAAGGCATCTGAAAAAAAAAAAAGTACATTTGGGAAATGCTAGTGTACCTGAGAAACTGTTTCTTTCATAATTGTAGTCTTGTTATTGCTCCATATTAAGCTGGATTCTGTTTTATTGATCCTTAGAAATTATGGTGTTTTCAGTGGGAAATTCAGTGGATATAATGTTTTCAATCAGGAGTGAGATATCTATTTGCAGATTTCAATAGGTTAAAAGATTAGAAGATTGTAAACAGGTTTTGTGCTAGGCAGATAGTCAACCAGTCAGCCTTTAACACATCCCCCTATCTATAAATGACTAATGCACATTAAAGGGTCTCAGAGAAGCATTCACTTCTGACATCTGCTTCCTGAACCACAAGGCATACTTGTAGCTACAGAATAGCAGTTGCTTTCAGAAATATTATTTGTGGATTATTTTGGAACCAGGGATGGTAGCATGTTTCATGGATAAATCACTGAACTTCTTAAGGAAAAAAAAAAAAAATCACATTAAACTGCTCTAGGGATAACCAGATTTCAAAGCACAGTTATGTGTTGTAGAACTGTGGGAACCATGTTGAACCAAAATTTTCTATAACATAACTTGTGAAAAGAAATAATCTTAGCAAATAACTTAATATACTTATTATTTGCCACATTGGTCTCTTCACATCTGTTAATTCATTTAACCAACACAAATGTCTATGTGGTAGGTATAGTTGTTATCGCACTTTATAAATGATCATACTAAGTCAAAAACAGGATGAGTCAGTTAAGCAAAGTGACACATCTACTGTTGTTGCGGAGAATGAAACAGTTCCATGCTTGCTGACTCCAGAGGTTGTGCAGAGCTGATGACAAAACAACACAGTCTTCAGAAGTAAAACTCAATATATTCACAAAGTTGTGGTCAACTATGAACTCTATATTAAATCCATTCAGCCCTGAACTGAAAACTAATTACTCCTCGAGGATAAACAGATAATTCCAAGAAGAGACATAACTATATTTAGCAGGTTAAAGTTGGTGGTTGTGGAATTATAGCTGCATATTACTTTTTAGTTGTTATAACAAGTATCTTTTCATCTTACTACTACAAAAACATCATCAAATGTTATCCACTGGAAAGACATAAAATTTTCCTGCTTATTGAACACCTTATTTTTAAACAAAATCATTACTTTAGATAACAAGTTTAAAATAACATTTTTCCCAACAGCAATATGAATATTCTTACCTTAGTCTTCACTAAAAAACAGATTACAGTATTAATTGAATATAAATTAAAAAATGGTCCTGTTTGCCCAGTCTTGACAAAATATTCAGGGATACTGTAATTCTTCCCAATTCACATAATATTACATAATACAAACTTTGAAGTTAAAAATTAGGGATACTCTAGATATATTTTACACAATGGATATTGGTTTTAAGTTATTATAAGTATAAAACAGAATCTTAAAAGTAATTCACCTTCATTTTACCCATTTTCTAAAATTTAGTACTTTTTAACATCACAGTCTATAAAGTTACATTTTTAGATATACATTACCAATCTTTGAAGGCATCTGAAGGGTTGGATATCTCTTTAAATATTATAATAATGATTAGATCCCTATCCATTTGAAGCACAGTTTGAAGCACAGCAGGGAAATCCCTTTGAAGCACAGCAGGGAAGCTTAAAGTTACTTAGAATAAAAATCTGACACTTAAATTTCATTTATTTATTTAATATTGATATTGAATTAGTCAACTTTTAGTTTGGCAGAAAGTATAGTCTGCTTAGCAAGCGCTTCTCTCTCTCTCTCTCTCTCTCTCTCCTCTCTCTCTCTCTCTCTCTCTCTCTATATATATATATATATATATATATATATATATATATATATGCAAAAAATTAGAACATAGAACTGGCCAGTAACAGAAAAATGTTAAACTATAAATACTATGAGATTTTATATCCAAATAGAAATATATCTCCTCTCCCACCTCCTCACTTTCGGCTTAAGTATGAAAAGACATCACTCTAAACACCTGTCATACCATTTACCATTTCAGGACTTTCAATTAAAAAAATTAAAAACCAAAAGAATTGTCTTTGTTTGTCCTGTTGCTTCCTGTGATATCTTCTAGGGATAAAAGTTGAAAATGATGATACACAGTAAACATACACAAATACATCTCTATATTCTTCTTCAATTTAGAATCCTTGTGATGACAAACGCCACAGAGACATATGGTCTAAGGAAAAAACCTGTGATCGCTTACCAAAATTCTTAGTAATAGGACCCCAGAAAACTGGTAAGAACTTTAATGCTATGATTAACCCAAGAGTGTAAAAATATAAATGACTAGACAGTGAATTCTTAAACTTCCTATAAAACTGATGGATAAATAACATGTTATCTTCTTACGTGATCTTTGTTTAGTTCAGTAATAGACTTAAGTGTTTTGTCAAAGTGTTTCTTTTTAATGAAAAGGATGAAGTAGATGTCATACATTTTGAATATCCAGCAGTTAATTTGGTGGCACATATCATTTTTTCCCAAAGATCTTTATTGAAAAACGTTAACGGAAAGCAAAACTAATCATGTGTTTAGAAAGTGTGACAGGAGTCTGTCAAAAGTCAACAGGAACACATATAAATACCTAGTACTCTATAATCAACCCCATCTAGTACTCTATAGTAAACTCCTCTTTAGTCTGCCATCTCCATGATATAATTTATTTGTAAACAATATCTTGCAGAGATGACAAATTTTTAAAAGTTTAAAAGATAGGTGACAAGCAGAATTCCTAAACGTGAAACAAAAAAGTTTGTGCTAAAAATGGTATTTATTCATACCCAAGAGAAATCTTTTGTACCATTTCCTAAATTGGTGTGCAATTTTTTTTCCATAAATTTTTTGTTTTTGTAAGAATCAGTAGTAAAATGAAGCCCAATGGAAGCTTTAAAATGCCAGACATTTAAAATGTATCCTGCGTGATAAATTATTTGAGGCTCTTGGATTCTGGCTTCATGGAAAACAGCCATTTCAACTGCACTGTTGCTATTCCACTCAGGAAAAAGCTGAAGAGAATTCTATGCAAGGTCCACAGAGAGTTAAGTATTTTAATTTTTTTTTCTTAGTCCCATTTGCAAATATCAATTTGAAAACAGTATTGATGACATTTTTTCTTTGTGCTTATTCATTTCACTTGTCTTTATCTATCTAAAGTCAAAAGATATCTAGGAAAACACTGAAACTGAAGCCTTTTCAGTGAACTCCCACTGTCATCAAATAACCTTGTCAGTAATACAAGGATAAGTACATCTACTCTCTGAAGCTTGACATACCATGTTTGCTTCAGGAAGCCCTGCAGGGGATGCTTCCTCTTATGCTGGGCTGGATAAACAGGTATTTTAATATTATGGTTAGATGGCAGAATTATTATTTCTTATTCTAAACTCAGTTTGGTTTCCAAATGTATATACTATTATTTGGATATGACATTTGTCTTTGGAAAATAATATTGAAAATGATTCCCTTTCATAGAAATTGATTTTTCCCAATATTATTGAGATATAATTTACTTACATTAAAATTCAACCATTTTAGATGTCAGTTTGATAAATCTTGTGAACTGTAGTTACATAATTACCACCACATTCAAATTATAGAATAGTGTTGTTCAAAACAGTTCTCCATATCCCTTTGTAGCCAGTTTCTCTAAGCTGCATCATATCCCCAGCCAAAGGCAACTACTTTCTATCACTGTAGTTTTACCTTTTTTAGAATTCCATATAAATGGAACCATGCTGTGTATAGTCTTTTGTATTTAACTTCTTTCATTTATCATGATACTTTTAAGATTCATTCATGCTATCTATATCTATCAACATTTTATGGAACTGAATATTTTACTCAGACAAAAATATTTCCTCAGATCAATCCCATAAGAACTAAATAGCTTTATTTTCCCACACTTTGTTGTGTGTGCGGGGGGTGGGGGGTGGGGAGGGAGGGTACTGGGGATTGAACCCAGGGACTCTTTACTGCTGTATTGTAAAGTACAATTGTGCTACATCACCAGCCCCTCCTTTTAAAATTTTATTTATTTATTTTCTTTTTAATTTTGAGACAGGGTCATGCTAAATTTCTGAGGGTCTCGCTAAGTTACTGAGGCTAAACTCAAACTTGCATCTTCCTCCCTCAGCCCCTAGAACCACAGGCATGCACCACACTAAATAACTTTACTTTTAACTTCAGTTTTGTCACAAGTATTTTCCTGGTTAATTTTGTATAGATTTTTGGTTATCTGGATATTCAAATACTTTTGAGTGTTTTACAGTGACAAAAAATAAATAAAAACTAAAGCTTCACAGGTTTTTTTAAATGTATATAACTATCATTATGTACTTGATTTACTATTGACAAAATGTATATACAAAACAGTTTATCCAGCCCACAGAATATGTGTGGATAAAGATGGAATTCAGAAATCATGTATCTATTTTTTGACCACTGAAAAATTATACCTTTTATTGACTATGAAAATTAATTACATTATATTTATTTTTTCTGTTTGTTTAATTGATGCTGGTCATGAAACTCTATTTTAAAAAGCAATAATTCTTAAAAATAAAAATCAGAAAAGAGTGTTTTTCCAAAATATTTCAGAAAATAATCAATGTTTATTTTCATATTATAGTATTTATGATTTTTATTTTTACAAATATTTATTCTTTTCATTGAAAATAAAAAAGACACTTAGGACTGAGTATATAGTTTAGAGGCAGAGTGTTTGTATAGCATGCATTAAATCCTGGGTTATATCCCCAACAACAAAAATAAGTTAATTAATTAATTAAAAGGATGTATGCTTTTTTCTGAATGGTATCTCAACTATATTGTTGAGATATAAACATATTTAGAATTTTTATTTATTTAAATTCTAAATCACATTCCAATTAATTTATTTTTAAAAATGCTTTACAAATATTCAGATATGGCACTAAATATGTAATACTTCACAGATTATCTCACTTGACTTTGATCAAGTATTTTCTTCTCCACTACACATATCAGTAAACTGAGATTCAGAAAGTTAAATAACTTTTATTCAATTTCACATAGCCGGTAAGTACTAGAAACAAAAGTTTTGACACTAGGATTTACCTGACTCCAAATAGCATGCTCTTTATACTTTACTGTAAATGTCAAATACTATAAAATTTTTCCCCCAATAAGTTTTGTGTATTGTTTAACATTTCTTCTAATTCAGTCATTTTCAAAGATGATCACCAAACCAGCAGCCGAAGTATCACCAGATAGTTTGTTAGAAGTGCAAATTCTTTTTTTTAATATGTATACTATAACTTTTTTTTAGTTATATTTGGGCATAATACCTGTATTTATTTATTTCTATGTGTGCCAAGGATCGAACCCAGGGCCCTGCACATGCCAGGCGAATGCTCCACCACTGAGCCACAACCCCAGCTAGACAAATTCTTGAGCCACACCACAGTATGGCTCAATCCAGAAATTCTGGGATAGTCCCAACTATCTGTGTTGTAACAAGCACTCTAGTGAATCTGATATATGATAAAAATTGAAAATTACTATTTTAAGTGAAACTTGTGAAGAACATTTTTACTTTGTATATCATAGATATATATTTTATTTCCTATATTTATTTGTGATTATATTTAAAGCGTTCATTGTTTGGCTCAGATGTAATCTAGAAACACTATTTCTTTCAATTAATTTACCTGTCAATATTCAATTAGTTGAAAAATAGTAATTTTAATGATTTTTCTATTGATGGATATGGTAGATTTAAGTACAATACTACTGAAAGCTTATCAGAGATATAAGAAATTTCAAACTTTTGTGCAAATGGCAACATGACAGTATTACAAAGCAAAGTTAGAACAGTAATTTTTCCAGTAAGAGAAATACTGCAAGATCATGTCTGATTACTATTTCTATGTATCAACTTGGAATACAATTAACAAAGCCTATTCCATCAGATTGTATAAACTATGAGTCACATTAGAATAGAGAAGTAGAATCTGTAGTGTATTTTTCTTCCAGGAGTACTGAATATATAGTACAGAAATTTTTTTTATGTTGTGATTTATAAACACACTCACAGTTTTAAGTACATGGTTAAATCTTTGAAAAACTGAACCTAACCTGCCTCCCTTTCTTTTGTAGATGTATGACTAAGCTGCATGCTCTACCTCTTAATTTAGACAAATAAAATAGTAATCTTTAGCTTATGACATTGCTCGCTTAAAAAAATTCACACCCTTGTTCCACAATAGTTGCAAATTTACATGGATTCCTAGGATAGACAATTCTCTGTTCAATAAACTGTTAATATTTTAAGTTATGTCAATAAGAAATGATACTATTTTTTTCAAATTTAACAAGTTAAACAATATCTATATTACTGTTATAAATATGAAAGAACACTCAAGTTTATGAAAACTTCTTAAAAGATTTAATTCTGTTTAATTAACTTTCATCAACCTTAGCAAGAACTTTTATAGGAGAACCAAACTATTCATTTTGGTAATGTAATATATTGACTAATAACATATTTTATTTATACAGTACTATATTAAATTAAAATATCTTCAGATCCACTATGTCTTTCATCCACTGAGAAAACACATGAAATATACAAGGACTTAAGAAAAGTGAAACAAAAAGAAGCTAAAAGCCAGTGCCACAGACCAAATCAGTGATTGAACTAAAATGAAAAGATGATTCTCTTAATCCCTGAAAGAGGCTTCTTCTCACATCCCTTTATCTCCATTTTTTTTAGAACATGTTTCTTTTTAAATGCTAGATATCTATAACATTAATCCAAGAAGTAATTATAATGAATCTGTTTGGATCCTTACATTATTTAATTTCTTAATAACTTTGAAATGCTAATAGTAGAAACTTTCTTTTCATTACATTAATTTCTAAATTTCTCTTGTCTTTTCAGGTACCACTGCTTTGTTTCTGTTCCTGGTTATGCATCCTTCCATCCTTAGTAACTCCCCCAGCCCAAAAACCTTTGAGGAGGTACAGTTCTTTAATAGAAATAACTACCACAGGGGGATTGATTGGTAAGATGGGTTATTAGTATAAATCTAAAAGTTTGTGTACTGTGCGTAGTATAATCTTAGTGTTAATATTTAGAAACATGTATGTTTGTATTCATAAATAAAAGTTATCCTGGGTGGCTTGGAAACTGATCAAATAACATGAAGGAACACAGAAAATCATTCATAACACACTCATTTCAGTTTATGGAGTCACTTATTGTTTCATGAGGCTCACATGTAACTTCAATTGGCATCAATTATCTGTGATGATGATCGCAAATGTGAAATAGAAAAAAAAATAGTATGATACTCAGAAATTTCATTCCTTTGTATTCTTAAGAAAACATTTTCATATTTTTCTCCTGCGCACTTTTTATTATGTGGTGCTATAATTCATGTATATACTTTTTTATTTTGTTTTGGTTAGGCAATAATAATAAGTATATAGAAATATAAATGTGTATATATCTCATGAGTAATGAAAGCAATAAAAACTCTATCAAAAATTTATGAAATTTAAATTTTTACCTTTGAATTGACATTAGAAATAAATTAGATATCTTAAGAAAATAGTTAAAATGTGAAAGTGTAGATACATACAAAACTATAATATAGAGTAGAAATGGATGGTACAATGTAACATTTTAATCATGAAATATATCAGGAGATTTTGCTGCTAGGGTATAATGCTAGATGGAGTAATTTAAAGGAGTGAAATTCTTGTAATAATTCTAGAGCATAAACACACATTTTGCATTGATTTTAGCAAGAAGAGTCATGTATGTTAATATCTGTTTTGTCACATTATGTGATCTCAGTTTTATAAGTACCACCCACCACAAGTGTTGTTTGAGGTAGTCTGAATGAAAAGGTAAACTAATGGATCGAGTCAAATTTGAACACCCACTAGAATTCACATATGCTAAAATTGTTATGTATGTCACTGCCAATTTTTCTATATAGAGCTTGATGTTCATTATGTGGTGTTAAATAATAGCATGGAGGATTGAGAACCATCAACTACTTCAGCTGCTGCTTGACTGTGGGAATAATCAATTTTTTGTTGTCATGAATTATATCAAATAAAACCTTCTTGATCATAGCTAGTACAGTATAGGCACTGTTATATGAACAAAAAGTTTCTTAAGCCATTTATAAGGATAGGACTTAAATAAATAGACAATTAAAAAACAATGAAGGATTTTAAATATAACTCACTAAAATTACCCCAAACACAAGCATTTTTGATTGATAAAGTATATACTTATAAAAGGCAGTTAATCCAAATGACAGATAATTATTGCAAATTTTAATATATAACACTAAGTATAGCTTTGCATGCAACAACTTCAAATATTCACATTTATCAGACTGGTCTGGCTTCTCTATGAAGCATTAACTACTTAGGTATCTTTTTATAATCGTAGTTCCAAAAGGTGTAGAAGATTGTGTGTCTCAGAGTCCCAGGGTCATTTAAAGAATTAACTTAGGCACAGCTAGTTTATTTGGGTTCTTGGATCTGCATTTTTTGAGAATGGATAAAGCTAGGGTTGCTTTAACTGACAAGCAGCTTAGGGTACAAACAAAGTAAGGCAAATAAAAATTAGAAAACATTATCTTTGACAAATAGTTGATTTGTAATTGGAACTTCTCAGAAAAAAATATTTGAGTTATGTATGCATGTAAGTTTAATGGTTTATCCATTGGTATTATTATTTTGAGTTACATGGGGATTCGTGGAAGGTTGGAAAGCTATACAATCCTGTTAACATTTAGAACCCCTATAGTCATAATGTGGCTTTAAGTAAAATCAAATAAAAATATAAATATTCAGAGTCAGCACAAATAGCAAATAAATGTCGAGTATTGAAAAAAGAAAAAAATATATACATTTTTCAGATAGAAAAAAATGCTGAGGTATTATGTTTAATAGAAGTAGCAAAGCTGAGGGAAGCAGGCATTCACTTCTAACCCTCAAATTATTAAGACATTCTAGTGTGCTTGCTAATTCAATGGATAATCTGAATGTGTATTTTCCAAAAGTGAACATTTTTGGGAGCATCCAGGTCCCATACTATAAATATGAACCTGATTTCTTTTATTTATTTGCTTATTGATCAATTTTTTTTCAAATCTATATGGCACTTCTTCAACATTTCTATAGTAGAAATTGTGAACATATAGGTGATCATATATTATTTTCTCTGTGAGCATCTAAGGCCAGGCAAAATTAACACACTATAGATCCAACATTCAGAACTACGTAGGATTTGAAAGCCCAAACTGTTTCAGCTATAAAAAACTGCTGTGAAGGTAGGACACTTTGTTAGAAACTAAAAGTTATCTAAAATCAGCTCATTTCCTCTTTTTTGTGATATTTGGAACCATCCTCAAAACAAGCAAGCTTAAGGCAAGCTTGGATCAAACAGGATACCACTAGTCATTCTTGATAACCTTAGCACCCCTGCAACCAGCATCAACTTCTAAATAATATCCCAAAATGTGGCACTCTCTGTAACTAGAGTGTATACCAGAAGATGTACCACATCAACTCTCCCAAAAGTTTTGTATATTTCTTTCTCTCTGAAAGGAGGCTAGGATGATCTATCATCAGCAATGCATTTTCCAGAAAACATAAAAGGATTTCTTTACTTCTCTGAGTGTTAAGATATCACTAAAAGGTTGAAATATAACGAGTTGAACCAGTTGTAGTTGGTAATGCTTCAACAACTGGAATATTACCACAAACATTGTTATGTGAAACTATGAGATCTCACAATTGAAAAGTCTATGAAAGTTGCATGATCTCATTCTAAAGAAAACAACACACTATAATAAGAAGTCCTTACATGTATGTTAGTGACTGTTCAGTTCAGTAATTATTGAATTACCTTTTCTTGTTTGTCTATAGTCACAGTGGCTTAAGAATTGAAGGGGTTGGTGATGGAGAGTGAAACTATTATTATAAAATGTATGCAACCCAAGTAGTTTCTAAGGAATCCTTTTTCCTCTAAAACATGACCCTTTTTGCTTTTGAAATATATATGATCATCTGCTGATTTTTTTATACTTGACAACTTTTATCCTTTAATACAAAACATGAAGCAGAATCCTCCATTTCTGTGCTTGAGACTACAGGTATCCCCTTGTTAACACTGGAGGTAAATAGATTGTAAAAGATAAAATACAAATTCTAACCTTGGAAATTTGGATTGGGTTTTATATTTGTAAACATATACATATGTTTTAATCTTTCATTGTAATTATTCTAAAGATAGATGTAAGTGGTTCTATATGACAGAAACAAATAAATAATATTTACTACAGATATTTAAGTAACATCAACTCAACACACTAGTGGAGATAAAAATATTTTATTATGATAACGTAAAAAATGTTTTTTTTCTAATTCATTTAAAATACCTTTGAACTGAGTACATCATTTATTTTGATCAAATTTTATTCCTGTTTGAATATTTAGAATTTCATCTGTACAGTATTAATCCATTTAGATATATTTTAAATTGTTAGATTGATTATTGTTGCCATTATTCTATGTCTACATTTTTATCATCTCTTACCTTTATTCTGCTACTAAGCAAACAAAATGTACTTAGAAAAACATTTTTAAAATGCGTTATTAGTATTCTGGATGTTTCCCTTGCTAACTATAGAGGAAAATGCCTTAAAGGCAGAATTTTATTTAGGAAAGAAACGAATATGTGGAACACCTCTATTATCTTCAGTCACTAGTACATAAGTGTAAAACAGGATCTTATTTTGAGAAAAATGTTCCTTTTCTAGGTATATGGATTTCTTCCCAATTCCATCTAATGTTACTACTGACTTTCTGTTTGAGAAAAGTGCCAATTATTTCCACTCAGAAGAAGCTCCTAAAAGAGCTGCTTCCCTAGTCCCCAAAGCCAAGATCATCAGCATTCTCATTGACCCATCAGACCGAGCATACTCCTGGTACCAGGTAAGGGTAAACAAATCAAACTGGGGGGAGGGGAGCGTGGACAATGGAAGATCATTTTTAGCAATAGCCTCCATCTCAGGTATTAACAAAAGAGAAGATCTGCTAGTTGGATGGTATCAGCAGAAAAGTAGATTACTTTTCCTAAAAAAACAAACAAACAAAAAAACAACAACAACAACAAAAAAAAAAACCTTTCTGTGTTAATCTTTTATTAAAATATTTAACAAAATGTGTTAATACAAGAAATTAAATTGAAATATAACAAACAAAATATACACTTGTTTGTGTGTGTGTATAGAGATATACATCTATTTCCATACCCTCTGTTCTTCTATACATCTGTATTTTAAGCATGCATTTTAAAATCATGAATTTTCATCCAATACATATATATTTTATAAAGGACTAAACAGCAAAATTTCATGTTTTAAATGTTGTAAGGTCTTTTGTGACTCTGTAATTGTATTTTGAGAGTAGCCATAGATGATATGTTAATGAAAGAGCATGGTTGTGTTCCAATACAATTCTATAAACAAAAACAGACTCTAGGCATCCATAGATTATTGCCCCAGTTCTGAAAGAATCTAAATAAATGTTTGTACTCTAGAAGTAACTTAGAAACAAAGCTTATATAAGAATTCTTCATCACTGGAAGCCCAATCTGTCTAAACCTGTTCTAAGTCTCTTCTCATATATTCATTGTCATTATGTTTCTGAGGTTGGTGAGAACTTAGCACAGATACCATCACTTTAAAATAATTTAACAGACTCTAATAATACTTGTATATAAAGTATATTTTATAATAAATCATTAAATAATAGAGAAAAACTGTCCCAGTGATATTTTAATCACCAAATGGAAAATTTCAATAAAAGGCATTCAAAATTAAAAATAAGAATATAACAAAATCAGTATCTTGTCTCCACGATCCTTTGTTATCATTGCTCAACTTTTTAATTGAAAAATACCTATTATTTATATTTCCATCCATTCATCAATAATTTTAATGACAACTATGTGCCAAGTTTTGTTCTGAAAGTGATGGAATAATAAATGTGGCTTCTATACTTGAGACTGTGTTTTACATAATTGGAGAAATGCTGTATGTGTAAATAACCATATAAATTAGAAAGAAGTAAGTGATGGACTGATAGCATCATTCTGTGATAAAGTCCATCTTAAAGATTACAGGAAACAAGCTGGATTGATTAACTGGCTGCAGCAGAGATGCAGACCCCAGAAGAATCAGTACACATTCTCTGAAGAAGTGAAGGATTTATAAGGGGAGAAATTGAGGTGAAGTTGAAGTGATGGATTGTTCTGGGAGGGGTAAAACATAAATATGTATAAATAAATTATTAGCAGGCTAAAAAAACAGACTATGGTCTATATTTCTTTGAAACTATGAATTTAAGATGAATGTGTAATATTGTGTATACAAAAACTCTTTGGGGGTTTAATATAAGGTAATTTGGTGTGCTCTAAGTAACCCACAATTCCTCTGGTGAAGATTTGTGGGTTACTTAGAGCACAGCAAATTACCTTATATTAAACTCAGCAAATACTTACTTAGAGCACAGCACATAACCTTATATTAAGAGCTCAAATCCTCTCACCAGGGGTGGGTGGGATGTTCCACTGATATGATTTCAAATAGGAAACTCCTTGAAATTATGATATTAAATTTAAGAATATAGTTTTTTAACACCAAGATACCTTTTGTTAGTTAACAAAAGCAGTTTTGTTTTTTTTTTCAGGTTTACGAATAGAAGAAAAGGTTATTGGGAAAGATTTGGTGACAGGGGCAGAGTGAGGAAAGGTCATACAAAACAGAATTCTAGTTAGGTATACTAAAAATTGACAGATTTGATTTTGCATCTTTTACCCTTTCTACAGGAAATCTGGAGAAAAGAGAAATAAGCCTTAATTGACTCCAAAAGACAGAAGAAAATTGGAGCTTGGCAATCACTTAGCCTCTGAAAAATTGGGAATTTACAGAAAAAGAAGGTTTCAAGGATGCAAACTAACAAAACACTCTAAATATTGCAAATAAGTCACTCCACGGGGTAAAATGCAGACCTTAACAAAGTCTAGTAGAGTTTATAGTATAATAATTTGAATCCTAACTGAAGCAAATTTGCTTCTCAACTAGCTGGTCTCTGCACCCTGAATGCTCCCTATAGGAAACACATTTACAAACTTACTGCTAAGCCTGAATATTTATTGGTCAATTTAAGGAAAAGATGATTTTCTCAAATCCATTGGCTGATATCTGAGTCATTATGAAACACTTTCGTATTTGGATTGCTGCTTTCTGTATTTTCTGAACAATAAATGGTTCTGATTCACTGCAAAGGTTACCTTTAGATAAAATAATCTTGGCTTTCAGATGCTAGGTAATATATGATAAAATCTATGGATTTGGGATAATGTATATGTCAGAGTTTCTCCATTTTAAATAGCAAATAGGATTTTTTTTTTCCTGATCTAAAAACTACATTACAAGGAAGAGCAAAAAATTATTTGGCTGAACTAGTGCTTATGTATTACACATATCCACTGAGCTTGATGAATGATTTTCTTATGGGCTGAAAAGGGGACATAATGCAGCTTTCAAAAGTTTACTTTCAGGTAAAATACATATACAAAGGGGAAAAAAAAAACTCAGTAAAGTTGGTTAAGGAATTCTACCAATAAGAATTCATCCTCTGTCAAATAAGTCTTTAAAATACATACTCATCAGTGTCATAATTTTAAATTTTGATTCTCCAAGCAAACATTTTCATCCTTAATTAATTTCAAAATAAATATCTCTCCAGCAGTGAGACACTCTTTCCTCTAGCTTAAGGACTTATCAGAAATATTTGTTTTTAATTATTTATGTTTATGTTTCAAGTTAGTTTAATTATCCACCTTTTTATCAGCATCAGCGATCACATGAAGACCCTGCAGCTCTGAAGTTTAGCTTCTACGAAGTAATCTCAGCCGGGCCCCATGCACCCACGGAGCTTAAAACCTTGCAGAAGAGATGTTTGGTCCCTGGGTGGTATGCCAGCCACATTGAGAGATGGCTTGTTTATTTCCCTCCCTTTCAGGTATGGAGCAATAAAAATTTACATCATGTAACAATCTCATTAAGTTGATGACTTTGCCTCAAGGATAGAGGAAAATTTTACTCATTAAAACTACTAGCTTTTTACTTCTTACTTATAAATAATGGACTGTGGCAAAGAAAAATAGAGAGGCAAAGTAGAAAAGCAGTCTGATTTTTGGAAAGTATTTCAGAGTAATTTTCCCTGTTCCATTTTCTGGTGCCTTACCTGATTGTAAAGAGTTTCAATAGCTTCCTGATTAGATCCCTAATTCTTATTCTGACATAAATAAAGCTTGAAGGGAGCCTCTTCACTAAACAAGGCAAATATTGTTTTGCTTAATTAAGTGATGTTATTTTGCTTCTGAATCACCTTGTTGAAATTTTTGGAAGTCTTATGCTTTTATCACATTCCTTACTCTTTTTTTTTTTTTTGGGGGGTGGTGGTGGGCATCAACTTAGGTTACCAAATCAAATCCTTTGGATTGTATAAACCATCTAGTCATGTCAGATGTGGTGTGTACTTGCACTTTTAAAACTGCAGTGTCCAGGGCTGGGGATGTGGCTCAAGCGGTAGCGCGCTCGCCTGGCATGCGTGCGGCCCGGGTTCGATCCTCAGCACCACATACAAACAAAGATGTTGTGTCTGCCGAAAACTAAAAAAAAAAAAAAAATTAATATTAAAAAAAATTCAAAAAAAAAAAGAAAACTGCAGTGTCCAATGTGATAGCTATTACCACTTAATGTTAATTCAATTTGAATTAATATTAAGAGAAATTAAAAATGCAGTTTCTTATTTGTATTATCCACGTTCAAATGCTCAATAGTTACCTGTTAGCGCAGCTATAAAACATTCATTATCACAGAAAGTTCTATTAAGTAATGCTAATCTAGACTGATAGAAATATTGGAAAATAGGTATGGGCTGGAGTTGCATTACAGGCTTTGTAACCTTCCATTCCATCCTCAGTCATTTTATCTTGCTGGGTCCACTATCATCATAGTAACAAATTCTTCCCCTTAGTTTTTTAAGGAACTATGTACATGCACTGGTTCTCTGAGAATTCTTACCTTCTCCATATGAATTATCAAAGTATTTCTTCAAACTTTACATTGCTACTCCTGAATGGAATTGTAAAACATGGCATGTCTTCTTTCTTATTACATTTGGGCTTATTTTGAACATTCTTTTCTTTTCCACAGTGCTCCTTTCCAATATCGATGATGGAATAATTGCTTTTTTTCTTGGCTTATATTTGTGATTTTGCAGTTAAATTTCTAAGCTCTCTTGGTCCCCACAATTGGCTTTTTGCTTTTATAGTGTTTGTAGGAGTTCTCAGGTAACAAAAATGAATGTGCTTAATTAGCATGATTTATTTCTTGGTTCAGGCCATTAACAAGTACTGTGTGATTATATCTAATAATGATGCATGCAATTCTCCTTAGGACCTTGTTTCTGAATAAACAGAAAAATTTTTATTTTACAGTTAACATATCTTTTTTCAACATTAATTAAATAATAATAATTATTGTTATTATTTTGGTGATTTAGTTGCTAATTATCGATGGGCAACAACTAAGAACTGATCCTGCTACAGTAATGGATGAAGTACAGAAGTTTCTAGGAGTCTCTCCTCATTATAATTACTCAGAGGCTTTAACGTAAGTTTGTATTCTCATTAATTAATTAAACTTTCAGCAGGGAAATAATTTTAAGAAACTGTAGTTTGGTGATGCAATTGTCAATTTATATGTTAACTATTTGGGGAAGAACAATTAAAACATTGTGATGAAGAAAGGTCCTAAATCACCTGTTTACTCCTAAATATGCAGATTTCTCCTGGAAGAAAAGTGGAGGAAACAAATTGTGATTCTAAAAACCAACAACAAACCTTAAGAGTAGACTTGAAATAAGTTCATAAAAGTTGACATATTTAACAGACAATATTTCAACCTCTTGGATGTATGAAGAGGAGATTAGATAATATTGGAACTGGCCTTTTTTGCAGTTTTCAGAAACAATGTTATACAGGCAGGAATAATCCAATAGGTGACAGCATAGGCAGAGAGAGAGAGAGAGAGAGAGAGAGAGAGAGAGAGAGAGAGAGAGAGAGAGAGAGAGAGAGGGAGAGAGAAAGGGAGAGAGAAAGAGAGATATACTATTATTGTTCTATTGCAGTAGTTTTATTTTTTACCTTTGTCTTTATGTAAAATAAATGTGACCTTGTCATCCTTTCTTCAGAGACCTCAGCAGTTAAAAGCAATGATTTGTTTTTTTGTTTGTTTTGGTAGTTTTTTTAATTTTTATTTTTTCTTGATTTCCTCTGATCTTCCTTGGTAATTGACTCCAAGGGGGTCAAGAGACGCATTAGAATTTAAGAAAGGACTCACTGTCGAATTGTCATGTGCCTGAGAGTGAGTAACAATGCACTTTCAGTGAGTTTCTTTTCATATTTTCTTGTGATCATCATTGACACACCTTGTGAAAACCACTAGTGCACTTGTAGAATATTTGGAGGTTTCATGTCGTTTTCTTAGGTCTAACATTGTCTTCTTTCACCCTATAGCTTTTGCAGTTGTTTATCTGAACCCCATCTTCACAGTTTAGTTACTCTTCTTATAGTAACTCTGACAGTTGTTTCTGTGATACTATAGAAATATTGGGATGGCTATGAGTACAAAATGTATATTCTCATAAATGTTATTTATACCAAAAACTAAGAGATCCGTTATATATTTTGGTATTATTTCTTATTTTCCTGCTATGATAGTGAATATCATCTCTTTGGTGTTTGCATTTCTTTTTCAGCTTAAGACCCTTCCTTCCTTCCTTTATTAAGGATTTACTAAACAAAATCCAATATGAATTCTCAACCAATCACTTAAATACAGTGCATTGCACAAAGTAGAATAAATGAATGAAATTAGGTATACACAAAGGTTTTTACAATACTCTGGGCATGAGAGAATGCTCCAATTTAAGAAGTCTCTAAACTGATTATTTTCAGTTTAGCAAATTCTACTATCAAAACTTATTTTCAAAAGCAATGGTAAAAATCCTCCATTGTCAAAGTGTTTTTTATTCCATTCCATGATTACTAAAGAAAATATTCTAGAATTCCAAAATTTATACCAACTAACTGGATAGTCGGATCTTAAAATTACTTTTTATTGTCATAATTGATTTTAAAAGTCTTATTGAATATGTAAAAATAATCTGATTTTCTCAGTGAGTGCGGGTGTGGTTTGAAATGAAGACTATTAGCTTAAAACAATACATTTTGGAACTTTCTCATTCAAAAAAGTAAGTTACATTTTACAACTTATTTCAGGGTATTTATTGAATCAAATGCATACTGCCTTAAAAGAGGGCCAGTATCCAGAGAGGCTGGGAGGCCTCATTTAAAAACTTTTGTCCAACAAAAACTTAATTCCTTAATTATGAACAATAGGGTTGATATTATATTGACACCAGTATAGTTTTCAGGTTATGTGTTATATAGTGTTTTGAAAATAATTAAATATTTGAAAAAAATGAAGAAAATTAAAACTTGACATGAATTGTGCTAATGTGATAAATTAAAATTAAAAATATAAATTTAAATTTTACCACAAATATTTCCATTCACAATTATCACATAGGCATTGATGTCCATGACAGGAGTCTTCAATTTAGAAATACTAGTTACTTAAATACCTGAACATGACATCTCATTTCTCAGCCCATTAATATATTTGTTTAGTGAAACCAGACTGTGTTAAATAAAAATTTAATACAGATTTACTTTGAAAACTTTGATGAATGGGAATTATTAATTTGAAAGTCAGAGATAGAATATAATTTTTCTTGTGTGTGTGTGTGTGTGTGTATTTTATGAGGCTTTGTTAAGTCATAAAGGACTGAAGATGCATTAAATTTAGAAAGACTTCAAATGTTTCTAATATCACATCCTGATAATCAAATTTATGTTGCCCAGGTGTTCTTTCCCAATTCACTGCAGATGAGTTTGGGTAAGAATCTACCGTGTAAAGACTTTTTAATAGCAAAACTAGTTGTCATAGTAACTAAAATCTGGTTATCCTTAGGATGACCTATGAAGAAGCATCTAGAAATGTTGTTTTGAATAGAAATATATTTACTAAACATATTTACTATACATACTAAATAACTTATATGTGTGTGTATATATATATATCCTCACAAAACTGTGTGATAAGTAGTATTAGCAAAATAGTACTATTTTTCAGGTAAAAATATTAGAACATAGAAAAATTAAGCCAAAAATTAGTTAGCAAGTAGTTTAAGGAGGGAGATTTGGAAGTCAGTTATTTCTGGAACCTACCCTGACCAATCTTAAGTTCTTCCCATTGTCACAAGAACAAGACAAAAACTATTGTGAATTTTTAGTAACAGATAGTATATCAACAGGAAGTACTTCCTTTCAAAACTGAAAGCTTAAAATGAGCTTTATAAGTTGTATCAGACATTGCTACAAACAGAATCTATCTTTCGACTCACTGAATTTCACATTACAAATAAATGTTTAATTATAAAGGTATGCAATTAAGGCCATATTGAGATACCAGTTTACACCCATTGCAATGGTTATAATCCAAAAGATAATATGTGATGTTGGCAAGAAAGTGGTGAAACTTGAAACTTTATATATTGCTAATGGTGGTGAGTGGCTACAGGAAGTAGATCTCTGGGGGCATGGCCTTGGGAACTATATCTGGTCCCTGGCTTCTTTCTCACTCTTTGCTTACTGGCTACCATGAACTGATCAACTTTCCTCCCCTGTACCCTTTTGCTATGATATTCGCCTTATCTCAGATCCACAGTAATAGTCAGTCAACCATGAATTGAACTTTTAAACTCAAAATAAACTTTACCTCCTCTAAGTTGTGCTTGTCAGGTATTTTTGTCACAGTAATAAAAAGCTGATTAACAGGGTTATAATGAAGGTTCAAATAGAGAAATATAAAATATTTTGATAAACAAATATAAATGTAACATAATACTATTATTATTACAATTATAGCATGAAAATCCCATTTATAGATGGAATTACTTTAATATAGCTCTCATATTAAAAGAAGAAATTCTTTTATCTGGAAAATAATTAAATTTGGTTTATAGCTATAGAATTCTAAAAGTAATAACTCCATGGCACATCAAAATCTTTTCTCTCAAATCACCCTGTAGTTCTGTGATACACAGAAGTGATGAAGATTGATTTGTCATTTTTAAACTCTATAAAAATGGACTTAAAATTTATAAATATTTTGATACCATATGAAGGAATTAGTCTTAATTTTTTATTAATAGGATATTTTTACTGAAAATTTTTGTATTAAGAATTGGGCAAACTTAGAAATATGACAGAGGGACTGAAAATTCCTTATGACAAAATTAGCATGGAAATTAGAGTTTTCAGTGTGCAAATATTGCTCATAAATTTTATTAAATTTATGGATTTCAGGATTGTATGCTAACTTAAACATGGAACACTGGGTGGTAACCATAGACAGGTGGGACATGGCTGGAGGAAGTAGGTCTTTCTATACTATTTTATTCTTTATGACACAAGATTTTATGCAAAGAGTTATAGTATAAAAGAAAAAAAAAACTTCCAGTTTTATTTGTTATAGATTGATATTCAAATAAAAATACTTATGTTATTGGTCATCATATCTTATAAATTACTTAAAAATAATTTCTTTAAGGTTTCTTTGGGGGTTTGTAATTTTTTAGGTTTGATTCTCATAAAGGTTTCTGGTGTCAGTTGCTGGAAGAAGGTAAAACAAAATGCCTTGGAAAGAGTAAAGGAAGAAAATATCCACCAATGGATTCTGATGTAAGTGTAGAGCTTAAAAATCTAAGCTATTTGTACAAAAGAATAAATAGTAACATCACATCTGTTTTCTTAGAAAAGTGATTAAGTCAAATTCAACTTTCTAAAATTTAAAAGTGACAATTGAGTTTTAGAATATCTATGTTGTTTGTTTTTTGATTTCTTCAATTATATAACATTACCTGTCATGCAAGAATAAATGAATACAATAGAATTTTTTCAATTTTGAATAAGGACAGAAAGATATCATCTCATTCTAAAAGGAATGATACTGCACAGAAATTTTTGCACTAAAAAGGTTAAGTGAATCCAAGAAAGGAAATATATCAACTAGAAATTGAAAATAGGATCAAAAGGTTTCTATCTTTTGTCACCATAAAATTACTCCATAGTTGTAAATATAGCCTAGATAATATTATTGTTATAATGTACTGAACTTTGAACTGTTTTTATGCTATTAAAATGAAAAAAATTAATACATTTCCCAGACGTATAATATACTAATATAGTACTCAGGTTTTTTTTTTCTTTTAAGAGAAAGAGAGAGAATTTTTTTAATGTTTATTTTTCAGTTTTTGGTGGACACAACATCTTTATTATTGGTGCTGAGGATCCAACCCAGTGCCCCGCTCATGCCAGGCGAGCGCGTTACCCCTTGAGTCACATCCCCAGCCCGATTACTCAGGTTTTAAAGAATGGAGATGTGTACATTATGGTACCTAGCACTTTGTTTATTCTGTTCAGTATCCTGAGATGATGAACACTTAATGCTATAGTTTTTTTCAGGTTGAATATCCTGTATGTTTACTTTAGTACTTAATGCACATGAAATGTATTCATATTTTCATTTCATAATCAGTCTACTTAAAATATAGTTTGGCTATTAGAATGCAGATAGATTATGATTATATATTATAATTACATGAATTTATATATATATATATATATTTAGAACCCAGAAACTAAAGTATTTGGGGTTTTTTCCCCACAATATTTAATACCTTATGTTAACTGACAATCTGAGGTTGTCTGAGAATCCTTAGGTAATCTGAATTTATTTGAAAATTATATCTAACAGGACTTTCAGAACTATTTGTTGTATCAGGCCTGATAGAGATATGGCCTGTAATCAAAAAGCTCATACTTAAATTCTGTATCAAAGACATTAGGAAAGGAGAACTTCTACTGTTTTGATAAAGAATTTACATTCTCTGAATTCTAATTTTATTTGGTTGATAAAAATATACCCTCATAGCACTATAAAATAATCCTAATACATTAAAAGAGTTTGAAGGGGCATTTCTATACTATTTCAAGAGAGCAATGCAAAATTTATTGTTTTTATGTCAAACTTTGTACAAAATTTATTTATTAAAGTTACAACATTTAAAAGATACCATATAATGTTTTTCTTAATATTTCATTTTACTCTGGTCTCACATAGAAACACTGAGATAAAATACAAAATTTAGTGGTAAAGAACTTTTCAAGATATCAATTTCAAATCTCTCTACAAGGTTACTGTGAAGTACATAATGAATTTATTGAAGTACATAATGAATTTATGGTAACAAACCATCTTTTGATATGAATAGCTTACCTATATATTTCCCAGAGTAAAACCTACCAAATTGAAGGGGCTAAAGTGTCTGGTTTGATCATATGATTTTCAGAGAAAGGTAAATATAAAGGGCCTCAAAAATGTCAACAAAACACTATGGGCTAAATAAACAGTTCACCTGCTTAATACAAATTTTAATCCAGATCTGATATACTTGATGATTTAATCATAGTCCACATGTATAAAATATACTTTAATAAACAAAATTGAATGTACTTTTTATCTCTCCCTCCCCACTCAGAGCAGAGCATTTCTGTCAAGCTACTATCGGGATCACAATGTGGAACTCTCAAAGCTGCTACACAAACTGGGGCAACCTCTCCCATCTTGGTTGAGACAAGAACTGCAGAAAGTGAGATAGCATTGAGAGAAAACTTGCTGAGGATTCATCTTTTCCAAAGTTTTCAGAGGCTACCAAAAGATGATCAAAATATACCTCTTCAAATAAGAAGAAAGGACAAGGCTCCTTCCATGTGCTAGCATGTGGATTATTAGAAAAAAAAAAAAAAAGGACAAGAAAAATATCTGTTACAACCCTTGAGGCCTATGCCTACTGCTTAACGCTCATCCGAGCCTGTGAGATTGTCATAGACTACTTACTGTGCACTCATCTGTAAGTCAGTAGCAGCAAACATAAATAACAAACACAAATGTAAAACTGTCCATTTCATATTAATATTTACACTTTGATATGTCAACTAAGATTGTGTCTACAGATTTTTAGACCACTGTTTGCCTGTAATTTTTTTTAATTCTTTGATTCTATGAGGCATCCTTCAAAATAAGAACCAAAATAAACCTCACAATATAACATAAAATTCCAGAAGCATAACACATAAAAAAAAAAAAACAAAACGCTTGTCAAAACTTAAATCCACTGAAGTATTTAGAAAGAATTGTAAATTGTAATTTGTGCTAGATCAGAGAGTGGAAAAGCTATACATGTGCTTTATCTGCATAAAAAAGAGAAGTACTGTAGCAAAAAAAGAAAAGTGATTTGTCATATATATAGTCTAGTTCATTTATGTAAAAATTACTAACTCTTCCATTGTAAGGTAACTATTATACTGAAATATATATTGTAAACTTGTTGGATGATACGTAGAAACACACTGAGTACACCAAAATAGTAAATGATCATGTAAGTGTACTGACTAAATCCTCTATAAAGGAGAAAGGATAGGGGTCTAAAGATATATCATTGAGAACTCTATACCCACTTGCCTTGTGCTACAAATCTATTCCAGCAGTCCTCTCTAGTTCTACAGAAATGCATGCAGAGTCTCTGAGATATGTGTCATCTCTGGTAACAAACCATCTTTTGATATATATATATAGCTTACCTATATGTTTCCCAGAGTAAAACCTACCAAATTAAAACTAAGGACAGCTTCCCTAGATGATACGTTTAGATTGTTTACACTTATATTATTACAAAGCTACATTTTTCCTATAGTCCAAAATAAAATTGTATAATGTCAGATTTGTAATAAAACAGAAATTAATATTTGATTTATAATCTGATATTTGAAATGATAATTGTAATACAAGGCAGAGAAAAATAAGAATAAAATCCCATTTTTAAAATTATTTGACATATCACTGTCACAGAAGATAACAGAACACAGTTAAATTTATGGATAGCTACAAAATTAAATGAAGAGAGTACATAGATGAGCATCACATGACTCTTGAAGTATATTTATACTTACTTAATGAAGTATTTTAAAAAAGAAAAGATTTAAAATAAATCAACTTATTTTCTTGTATTAATATTTACTTAATTTTTAGATGTACTTCACATACACACAAAATTTAAATAGTAAATAAATTCCCTGCTATGATTACATGTCTTTATAAAAAATCCTTAAAGGTATGATTAAAAAAATATAGGCAAGGAAACTACTATTTTCATTGTCACTATAATGTGTAAAACTAACTCTGTATAATAATTAGAAAACAAAATGTTTGATCCTTATACTTGCTGTAATTTTAAATATACATTATAATTATCAATTAAATGTTATTTTGAGATCTTATGTACCCCCCAAATACATTAATTTTTAAACAAAGAGCAGAAAGAATTAGAAGAAAAACAATTGTAAGACCCTTAGTAAAAAGCAAGAGCAAAATCATTTAAACAAACATGAGAAATTCAGTCTTTATGCCTACTGTTGACTCTTTCAAAGGAATACTTGCCAAACATACTAAAAAAATTATAATAATCTTTCATCTCCATTAATTTAAGAAAATTGACTTAAGAAGGATGCAATGAGAGGAGGCTGCAGCAGTTACATACAATGTCTTGTTTTTATTTGTCAACATTTATGTTGATAAAAGAAAAAAGGAAAGTTGATACATATATGCTTTAAAGTTGAGATGTACCTTTAAATTTCTGAAGAAGTTGTGAATGGTATCCTCTTGTCAAGGTAAATTGACTTGACTGAACAATTCACCCTTTGAAATAATTGTTAAAAATATACTCAGTGCTTATATAATGAAAGGAGAAAAAGGGAAGATATAGCATCAAGATTAACTCCATCACAAAGTATGGAGTTTGATGCTATATACAGTTGCAAGGGTTTGAAAGGATTTTTGACCACTCAGCATGTGTTTTGAATATAGTATCAATTTCCAGAGGATGTGCATATTTTCCACACTGTATATTCCAGTCAGTCATGCTATTCTGAAAGTAACATAAATACACATGAGAAAAGACTGAGAGAGAACATGATTTAAAAATTGTTTTGTATAGAATTCCCTTTTTCATTGCTTAAAATATGAAACTTCCTCAGGAAGAAATGAAATGGTTATTTCCCTGTTTATAGCTATATTTGTCATTCACATTGAATGAAAATTACTGAAAACTTTTTTTTTCTCTGTGTTTTCTTTAAAGAAAAAAAAAACTGGATATAACTCTGATAGTGGCATGGTACCTCATGTAAAACAATAAATTTTATAAGAAAATGAAGATTTGGGGACTAGTGATCTTAGGCAAGAAGTAGGTACTTGATAATTTTGCCTGGGAGGCAGTGGGAAGTGGTAACAGAACATAGATGCCACTAACATAATCTAAAGTAGAGATGAATGAGTGCTTCTGAGTAGGGAATAAGTAAAATTTGTATATAACTGTTCAAAATTCTCCTAAATTTTGGTGTTATTTCTTGTTTTTTTTTTTTTTTTCTTTTTAGTTCTATCAGATATAAAGCAGCTCCTACACCACTTTTGGGACTCTGGAATAAAAGAATGAGAAAATCACACAGCTGTTTCTTCAGAGACTTGAGAACCCAGGTGGTTGTAGAATGTCTGACTCCCAATACTCTTTTCTGCTCTCACAGATGAACCCCTTTTTATTTCTTTAGATCTTTAAAAGGTGTTAGCTAGTCTTTCCTTTATAAAATTACAGAAAACATCATGTGGAGATAAGCTAGACTCAGAAAGTCAAAGGTAATATGCTTTCTCTCATCTGTGGAAGCTAAAGAGAGAAAGAGAGTGAAAGAACAGAAAAATGACATCAGGAAAATTGAAATGAGACAAGTTGAGTAGAGAAAGATCAAGGGATGGGAAAAATGAAAGGAAGGGGAGGTATTGGGGAATGATGATTGGAATACAACAACAGTTTTTTTTTTTTTTAAATAACAAAATAGCACCATGCCCATTTTTAAAAATCTAGAAAATAATCTCTGAACAAAATATGTAGAGCTAAATGTCTACCTTCATTTTCCACATTTTTTCTCTATTTCAACCCCTTTCTCTTCCAGATATTAAATTTCCTCATGTTGCAACTCACCTTATCTTCATGTAGTGAGTTTCTCTCTCTCTCTCTCTCTCTCTCTCTCTCTCTCTCTCTCTCTCTCTCTCTCTCTCTCTCTCTCTCTCTCTCTCTCTCTCTCACACACACACACACACACACACACACGCACACCACATACATACATTGCTCCTACCTGGAATAATCTTATTTTCCAATTTTCTTCCCAAATATGCAGTCCCCTATTTCATCTACTCTAGGACCAGTTTCAGTACTAGCTAATAAACCAATTCATCAATATTAGTGGCTTACAACAGCATGATATTATGCTTTTCAGAGATATCAGTCCTGCATTTTCTAGGAGATACATTTTAAGCCCTAAGGAACAACTCACAGATGAGAGGCACTGAACTGGTCACATATTTTCATGTGAAGGTATCTCCATAATATCAATTTGCACTGTATAGCTAAATTCTAATATGAAAAAGTTCTACTCTGCTTGATGATAATTGACAACTTAGCTGCTCCTTCTCCTTGTCCATACTTCACACATCAGCCCCCCAAAACCACAAAAACATATCCAAACAGCAGTCATAGTAGAAAAAATAAATACTCTATGGTAGATAGTCCTTAAGAAATTATTCCTGGGCTGGTTTGGAATGTACACCATTTTTTCACTTAACATCACAAAAGCTGACTAATTTGACCTTTGAGGATGAAGAATAAAGGCAGTGTGATAGTCAACTATAGGTCACTTTGAGCCAGATCAAAGATTATTCCTAGGTGTGTCAAGGAGGTTGTTTGTGAATGAAATTAGAATTTCCATGAGTGAACAGTAGATTATCTCCCCCAAGTAAGTGGGCATCATCCAACACTTTGAGGTCCTGGAGAGAGCAAAAGGTGAAAGAGAAAAGAATGTTCTCCTTTTTATTTGGCTCTCTGACATCTTTTCCTTCAGACTGGGATTTAGACCAGTGACTCCCCTGGTTGTCAGGCCTTCAGTTTCAGACTAAATTATACCACCAACTTCACCCACTCTCCATTTTTCAGACAGGTGATCATGGGACATTTTGGCATGAATAATCATATAAGCCAATCCCTCATAATAAATCAGAGAGAGATAATAGATAGATAGATAGAATATTTATATGTCAGAGGATAGATAGGTAGATAGACAGACAGATATGGAGGTCCTATCATTCTGCATCTCTGGAGAACCCTAAAATACACAGTATGGCATTGATTCCATCCCAAAGAATATTTAGAGTTGGCCAAGGGTACTAACAGAATTGAGGATGGTGCTTCTCATTCAGGGCTCCTAGTACTAATTGATCTGTAATTATCCTGATTTTTGTCCATTTGAGTTTTCTATATGTCACTGGTCTTGACAAATGGTAGAGTCAAATTTTTCACTTATTTATTAGTATATTAAATTAATCTTTCCTTGAAAATTCTTCAATTAGTTCTGTACCTAACCTAACATTTTCATTTTTATTACTACTTCTTATCCTATTCTTAACTTATGAATATAAAAATTGATAAATCACTAAAATTGGAATTAGCTATATATCAACCATATCCTTTGGCAAATCTCTTAGAGAAAGGAATCATAAGTAAAATCAATAAGTAAGAAAACATATTCACTTGGAAGATTCAAGTGCAATATTTCAATATATCAGAGTTCTCAAAATAAATAGCACCAATAGAAATATAAGTGTGTGTATGTGTGTATATGTATAAAAATATAAAAGAATATATATATAATATATATATATATATATATATATGTGTGTGTGTGTGTGTGTGTGTGTGTGTGTATACACACACACATACACACAGACATACCATGTATGTATGTATTCTTTTATATAAGATTTATTGTAAGGTATTAGATTAAATGGTTGAAATTGAGAAGTTCCACAATCTGCTGTCAGCACTCTGTAGACCCAGGAAAGCTAGAAGTGTAGTTGAAAGACATGAGAGTTACAGAGTCAATGGTATAGATTCCAGTTTGGATTTAAAGAACTAAGTAAGCACTGAGAATAGAAGATGAAAGTTAGCTCAAGCAACTAGGCAGAGTTAATTCAACTTTCATCCATCTTATTCAAGTCCTCAATGGATTGGATGTTTCCTGTAACATACCAATTGATTGTAAACTTATCCAGAAACATATTCACAGCTACATTCATAGATAATATTTAACCAACTATCTAGGTATTCTGAGGCCCAATCAAGCTGACATATAAAATTATACATTACTTTTAAATATACCTTTAGTATTTTAGAAAGTCAAAGCAAATATAATTAAATGATTATAGCATATAGTATCCACAATATTTTAGGAAGAATATAATTGTTCACATTTTATGATAAAGAAAACTGAATTAAACTGAATGAAACGTGTGACATTTCCAATGCACACAGAATCTGGCAAAGTTATATAAAACTGTCTTCATCAAGCTGCTTTTTGGTTATGAGAGAATAAATTAAGTTTAAGAAATGCCTTCTGCCTGCATTTCTGGCCAAATGCTGTATTCAAATCAATAACTGAAATGGAAACCAGACTTTGCTCTTAAATATTATGCATGATGTTTATAGTTGGACCAGAGAAGATGGTCTTCTTCGTTTGATAAATATTTTTCAAAGTTTCAAACACTTTGAATAGACTGTAGTCCAATGTATGATCTTAACTAAGGGACACCAGATAGGTGATTTTGGGGGCTTTGATTTTCTCATCTATCTAGGGAAGTCAAGTGGGGCCACTGGTAAGGAAAAGGTACTGTTTCTTCCCTTGAATTATTTTACCACATGGAGGTATAGCAGTTTTTGTAACATTAGACTCTCTATGTGACTCATCTCTTCTGCCAAAATGGAGGAGTGATTTAATCATCTAAGTGGTAAAATTGGAAGAATTTGGGATTGCATTGCTAAACCTTAAGAATCCCTCACTTCTCTTAAGGATCTAACATCCAAAAGCAGTCTGGTTTGCTTTTGGCCTGTGTTAAGTTTAGCAGAAATTGATATCTGGCTACATTCTTTAAAGGCACAGACATGATCAAAAGAAGAACCAGAAACAAATACACACACAAACACACACACACACACACACACACACACATAAATACACTAGGAAGCTGAAAGAATGTGAGGAAAAAACAATATAAATAAGCTGTAAGCTAAATGTCTCATCCTTCTTGTTGGAGCCAACAGTACATCTTAAAGTTGACAAATCAAGAAATTAGAGGTAAGCAGATTATGCTAAGTGAAGCTAGCCAATCCCTAAAAAACAAATGCCAAATGTCTTCTTTGATATAAGGAGAGTAACTAAGATCAGAGTAGGGACGAAGAACAGGAGAAGAAGATTAAAATTTAACAGGGATGAGAGATGGGAGGGAAAGGGAGAGAGAAGGGAAATTGCATGGAAATGGAAGGAGACCCTCAGGGTTATACAGTGGAGGGGGTAGAGAAAGAGGAGGGGAGGGGAGGGGAGAGGTGGGGAGGGGGGAGGGTGGAGGATGGGAAAGGCAGCGGAGCACAACAGACACTAGTATGGCAATATGTAAATCAATGGATGTGTAACTGATGTGATTCTGCAATCTGTGTATGGGGTGAAGGTGGGAGTTCATAACCCACTTGAATCGAAGTGTGGAATATGATATGTCAAGAAATTTGTAATGTTTTGAACAACCAACAATAAAAAATAAAAAAAAAGAAATTAAAGGTAAAAAGGCAATTGGAATTAAAGATGGAATAAGCAGAATTTAACAGAAACAGTGAAAATGAATTTATTTTTGATAAGTAGGACTTGAGTACAGGACCAGGGAGAAATATTGAAATTTTTATTTCCAAGTATATGTATTATTTTTTAAGAACATCGATAATAATTAGCATAATAATAAGGCTGTAAATATTCAGGACCAACAATGTCCATTCTGGTGGGAAGAGCACAGTTACAAGAGAGATGTAATTACCATTTCTATTCAGCATCAGATGTTGGATGTTATTCAGGAGATTAACTAATATAAAGTTCCTCTATGATGGTACAGTCCTAGAACCCTAGAACAGTTATTCAAAAAGTATAGTCTGCAGACCCCTGGCAGTCTGATCCCCTCCAGGAAGACTGTAAAGTCAAAACTACTTTAAAAAAATAATTTAATTGATTATGTGCCTTTGTTATTGTGGTAGTATTTTCATTGGTGGTACAATAGCAATAATAAACATTCAGTGCTTCAACATAAGTAAAGGCAGTAGGATCATCAGTACTAACATTATTGTTTTCTTTATCACACTAGTCTTTTAAAAAAGTTGGAGTTACTTGACGTTTAGCTATAAAAAAGTCTGAAGTTATGTCAGTTGCTAGAATATGGATGGAATTGCAGAACATCACGTTTAGCAGAATAAGTCAAAATCAGAATGACAAGTGCTAAATTTTCTCTCACATGTGGAAACTAGAAGAAAAAAAAATGAAATAAGTGGGATTTTCATGAAAGTACAAAGGAGATCATGAGGGTAGGGGAAGGTGATCAATGGGAAGGAGGAAGGGAGAGTTAGGAGAGGTATTAGTAAGATTTCTGTCATATGCATGTATGAATATGCCACAACAAAACACATTATTTTGTATAATTAGTATACACACCAATGAAAATCATCAGTCATGTTGAAAAAAGAAATCCTTGGCAAATAATTAGAATTATTAATATACTTCCACCTTGAGTGCATGTCTCTTTTAAAAATATATACGACAAAATACTACTTTTGCCTATAGCATTTCTGCTACTTAGTAGATAGTTATCTAATGGAAAAGCTCTTGGGCAATTGTTTGAGTTGTAAGCTGAAATAGTCACTTTATTCTTGGAATGTCATTACTTGAAAAAAGAATTGAAAGAGAACTATGATTATTCAGACTTGATACAATGGCAGGCATTTTCTTGAAATGAACAAAGTGAGCCTGTCAGTTCAAAGAAAAAAAACTGACAGTATTTTTGTCAATAATAAAATTTGAGCTTTCAAGTCAAAATTAAGAATCTAAGAATATGTATCCACTACCATGAAGTTGACAGCATACTCATATATAAATACCTTTCTGATGAGATTCTTGGTAATATTAACAAGCACAATTTTCTAATACTTTAAAAAGCAAGATGTCAGCCCTTGGAAAATCTACACAATTTAG